CCTTTTCTTGTTTTTCTGCTAATTAAACCTTTTTTTCTCCACCATCTGTCTGCTACTTTCAACTTGTTTCTGCTATAGCTTCTTTTAACTAATTTTAGCTACTTTTACTTGACTTTGTGTTTGTGTATGAATGTTTTTGTTTTTATGCCTGCTGGTTGATTATGTCTACGGGCAGAGTCTTGAACCTTCTTGAATCTTGATTTTAGCAACTTTTAGCAAATGTTTTTCAGTGATTTTTTTTTTTGTTTTACAGGAAACGCAAATTCTCTAGTTCTATTATATTTTTTTATGAAGCAAGAAATCTTCCCACTTTGGTCTTTTTTACAGCTTTAATTATTTTTTTCTGCCTCTTTATTCTGTTTTATATTTGGTTTCAGAATCACTGAATTTGAATTTTAGGAATTAGGAATGGTTTTGTAAATTTTTATGTTCAGACTTTTGAAGATTTGAAGGTCTGACAGGGAGCAGGACGTCCAGCAGGACGAGGGACACAGACTCATCTAAAAAAATAATTAGTAAATACGAGGACTAATCAGTTTAAAATAAAGATTTTGATCACAGGAAAGTTGTTTGTGGGAAAAAGTTTATCAATATTGTCCTTAAATGACACCAACTGGAATTAATGAGCTTCAAAATAAAAGAAAAAAAAAATCAAGCTCCCAAAACTGAATGCAGTGACTTGGTGTAACAAAGTGTTTGATTCTAAAGCTAACCAAGTCAAAAGTGAAATAACGTCATGCTGAAACAGCGCAGGACGGTGGTGCCGTCTCACCTCCAGGTTCTGCAGGTAGCCCTCCTGCGGGTCGCACAGCAGCGAGGAGATCCGGTGGTTCTGCCTCATGCAGCGGCTGTGACTGTCCTTCCACAGGGGGAAAATCTGCCGGATCACCGTCATGCGCCCCAGTGCACTGTGGGTAAGCTCCAGGATCTCTGTGTCGCTGATTTCCTGCACAGAAAAATAAAATAAAATAATGAATTTAAACTGAAGTTTAATTAAATAAAAGGACAGTCTGTCCAAACAGCTCAGAATGAACTAAATTAATTTAATGTTACATTAATTGCCAACATTAAATCGACTGTTTATACAAACAAAACGGAAGCCAAACAACATGACAGGTCCTCACCGCTGCTTCAAAGCTTCCTCTATTGAYGTGCATGTTTAATTGGTGCAACAAGGTAAAGCTAATTATTTTCTGTGAGGTGTAATTATAGATAGTCTGCGTCAGAAAGACAAGCAAACTTATTTCGTTCTGTTTCTCTGATATCCTCGTCCAATTAAAAGTGACGGTGTAAACAGCAGTCACTCACATCTGAGGCTCATTTACTGCAGAGAAAACATTTGATTCTGTCAGCCTGAAGGCTTTTTCAGCTTTAAACCAGTTTCACTTCAGCTGCTCTRACTGCAGCAAAGAAACCAACCGTTTGTCCAAACGACCAGAACAAGAAGCTGAAATCTGATCAGATCGTTCCACGTCACTGAACAAATCATCAGAGGAGGCAAAATTATAAACTTTTATACTTTGTGTTTTATTTGAATATTATTTAACTGATAGATTTCAGTTTGTTAATGTCAATAATGAATCTTCTTCTTACACCAGAGTTAGTCATGGAGTTCCTCAGGGTTCAGTGCTTGGACCAATCCTCTTTACTTTGCTTCCATTAGGTAAAATTATTCAACAGCATGGGATAAATTTCCATTGTTATGCTGATGATACTCAGTTATATTTATCCATGAAACCTGATGAATCCAACCAGTTACTTAAACTACAAGCATGTCTTACAGACATAAAACCATGGATGACTCTTAACTTTCTGCTTCTAAACTCAGATAAGACAGAGGTTATGGTTCTTGGACCTGAACATCCAACCCATTCTCACTCCCAAGTCGTCACATATTGACGCGTTTCCAAGG